GGTGTGATGACCAAAGATACATCCATCTGATTAAATGGAGCAACCTGAAATAGCCAAACAGGTAGAATCATTGTAAACACACACACACACACACGTTTGGTGGATTGACATTTTGACAAACTTAAAAGCCATTTAATACTTTCAATCAAATCTGATAAAAGTCTGAAGGTTTCTCAACAGATTTAAAACTGATGAGCCATTTTACCCAATACCAAAATCTCTGGTCAAAATTAAAATCTCAAGAGTCATTTGTTCTAGAGGCATGAGCTCATAGTTGGAATAGTTCCTTATTCATTCAAACTGATTCTAAAGATTTCTCATAAATTTATCATATTTATTCATGCGTTTCATATTAATTAATCAATGTTTTTTTTATCATTAGAAGAAAGCTCATGTTCTGCACTTTGACAAGAACTGAACAAAAACTTCCATATCACCTACCTTTAACCCTTTCATCACTAAGTGATTTGTAGGCATAGAGTCCTCAACACTAAGTAACTTTGGAGTTGTAAAGCAAAATGACTTGTGGACTTTGAAACAACATAACTTTGCCAATGTTAAAGATATATGTCTGGATTAGGTGTCAAAATCAAGGTTAAAAATCAAATTTTATGACTAATTCAATAAAATGTGCATATCTATTACAACTGTTAAAATGCAGGTACAAACAGGTAACAACAGGTAAAATACAATTATTTTATTACCTCTTAGAATACTTAGAATGTTCTCAAAACTTTTTCAATTGACCCTAGATGTACTAGTGAATAATCATAGTAGCAACACAAGTCTTTCTTTCATGGTATCCATAATATATAAAATTCTATAAAATTAACCAAAGTGATCTCCAAGGTGAGATCTGTCCACACACCTAAGTGACCTATATTGCCTCTGCCACGTTTGATCGTCGCATTGAAGTTCATTAAACGGACAATTTTTCCAAAAACTTCATCTGAATAGAATATTTGAAAATAATCCGAAGCTTCCTGGAGCCATATAACTCTCGGGTGTGCCAAACTCTGTCAGAAAACTGAAACAAATCTCTTTGGTTTTCGGGCTTCGTCCAAAAAAAAAACCACGTGGAGCGTACAATTCCTCAGGTTCAAAACCTTCAAAGTCATCTTCATTGTCATCACTGTCACCCACAAGTGCATTCCATTGTCTCTCCATACGTCTTCCCTCATTGTCAAACAAATTTATCAGGTCAAAATTATTTAATTCCTCCGAAAACTCTCCTCTAAAAAAAAATCCTTCAAACGCCGCCATTTTGGATACAAATTTCAGCATTCGGAAAACACGTTAAAAGTTCCTACTTTGTTCGTTATTTCTAGTTGTATACAAGCTAAACTCACGAGATAATCCAAATATAACATCTACATTACCAGATGGAAGTTATTTGAGGTATTCCGAAAGATATTTAGTCGGGTACTATAACGTTAACAAAGAACACTGCCCCAGACCGAAAACTCGGTCCATAGTGTTGACGGACTACTTCCCCTGGACCGCATATGCGGTTTGTTGTGATGAAAGGGTTAAAGATACCTCTAAAAACATCTTGAACAATTCAATAACAAAAATACCAACTCGTGTTTCAAATAATTCTTTAGTTGATCTATTATCTTTATCTCACTGCCAATAAACAGTGGCTGATTTTTAATATAAGAGAGAGCATGTTGTGCAAGTTGCAGTATCCAATTTCAAGCTGAAAAAGTATGAGTAAGATGAAAATGTGTCAGTACAGTTTTGACCACATTTTTTATTTGACCTCTAGTTCTGACACCAAGGGTTCTTTTTACCTTGTTTTAGACCCTGGGGCATACACTGGACAAGTGAGATATAATGCGACCATTGATTGCATGCATTTAGGAATTGAATGCCCCCACCCACCCAGCTAGCTTCATAATGTGCATCTGTCAATGAGCAGTTCAGAAATTTATTTTTGCCATGATTGACATGCTTTGCTTTTAGTGAACTGCTTCCTAAAGCTCAAGAATGATCACTGAATGCTGTATATTTTTCTCAATAAGCAAACTAGAATCTCCATTCCCACCAATGAATCTTAACACCTGGCATCAATCTACCATGTGTGTGTGTGTGTGTGTATAAATATATATATATTAGCATCATTAAATTAAAAGAATGAATGAAGAAACATATCACGGAGCATACGTGCTCCCAAATAACTAATTGGGAATAAATATGCTGTTTAGTAAGCAGTGTTGTATGCATATAAAGAAATAAGGTGGGATATAAAATGTAAGAAATTGTTATCACATGTATGGTAACCTTGAGATCACAATAGGTACTGTTCACATAAATTCACACCCATTTTTAGGCATTGTTAGTTATAACAAAAATAGGCATTGTTTATTTGTCAATCAATTGCTATTGCTTTTACTCACTGACAAACAGGTTTCTTCGAAGTATGTCAAGAGGTTTGAGTCCAACTTTTATTGTGCAGTTTCAGCACAGCTGACCAGACTTTTAAATGGAGTACATGCAGGGCAAATAACACACTCAACAGGGAGAAACTGTGTGTCCTTTGAGAACTTCACATATACTGAACGCAAACAAATCTGTTAATATTTAGTAAAGATCATGCTTAATATGCCACAAACAATTCCCAATGGTAGGTCTCCATTTGTGGGATTTTTTACGGATTTAAACTCACAGCTTAGTTTGCAAAAATATTTCTTTTCTGCATGACATGCTAAAATAACTGTACGGTATTAAATAAATTTATTCAGTGACTATTGTAATCCCAATTTAGTAAAAATAGGAGTCCCACCTGCAAAAGTTGCAGTCCCCTCCCAAAAAACTATGCAAATTTGAAGAACTATTGGTTGCCATTGAATTTAATTTCTATATTCTTTATAATGTTGACATAGCTCCTGTTTGTCCAACAGACTGAGACTAAATCCAAGGAAAGTTTTATTCCAAGCACTATGCTAGGCATCACACACTTTCTTACTCTTGGCTACTCTCCCATCCAAACTATCAGTTACAGCAACTTCAGCATTCTTCTGAATCTCATAACAATCAGTCTCAGTTTGTAGTTTAACTCAACATGTCTTGATTCCAAGGTCATGTGCACTGTTTATTCTGCTAAGTTCGGAAAAGAACACAATAATAAAAGCTAAAGTTGTGTATTTGATCTACTCTTATAAATGACCACCTAAAAATCTCTAGGTAATGGAGGCACAGAGGACCATTTGCACAACTCATCAAATTGTGGTTCCCCATCTTATATGACCAGCCCTTTCCGATGGGACTATATTTGTGAGAACTATGTATATGTAGTAAGAAAGTTAAATGTAAATTCAAAGCATTTAAAATTAGCATTATTTAATGGTTCTCATTGCCTTGAGCAGCAATTTATGTAAAATATAAGATGAATGAAAATTATATTTCTAAATCTTTCTATAAAACTTAAAGAATGAAGATAGATCTATCAAAATTCAAAAAGGTACACTCTTTAATTACCAATGCCCTTCCAAGTTAGCTGTGAGCAAAGTCCTTCAAAAGTTGCATAATATCGATTTAATTCTCTCATTTGCAAGTAATAAACACATTTTATTACAAAGTTTCAGTTCTAATATTGCAAAGATTCAGTTACAATTTTCAAAGTGAAAATACGCTCAATTATCTTTGTCATGATGTAAGCGGCACAATAGACTAGCAATCACATGCTGTTAGAGCCAGACTTGACTCAAGCTCTAATTGAAGCGTGTCAGTTTCTCACAGGATTGAAAGCAATTTGACGCATTGTTTATCATTAACAACAGACAAATCAATGTGTAATATTCTGAATAAGTGGCCTTCTCAACTACATTCGTAATTCCTGCTAAATCCCATGTCGGTCGTAAAACACATCCTCTACTGAAGGTGAAGCTTCTTTCAGTGAATTAAAATTCTTTTCAGCACTTCCTACCTACTGATACAATTTTCATATAGTTACCAGATCATAAGTCTATTTATCATTTATACCTTTTTGATTTCATTTTCGGAGGCACTTCGACTGACACCTAAAATTGCATAGAGGTCCGGCTCTGCCATTTTCATAGAATGATGGTGGATGTGACGTCATTCATTACATGCGCCCTCTATTAAAAGCGTTTTAGAGGCAACAACTCTTCCACATGCACGTATGTAAGTCTTGTTTTGCTTGTGCACGAGGCACCGTAGATTTTACTGTTTTGTAGAATTTCGACAGACATTTCAATATATATATATATATATATATATATATATATATATATATATATATATATATATATATATATTTGTTTAAAATTATGCTACATTAATTTGGATTATGTATTATTATATAACGAAGTGATCTCTGTGAACTGATACGATGAAAACTAAACCAATAAGCAAAATAAATTCATTCGGAAATGGTTGCTAGACCATTCTATATCAAAGCAACAAATATCAGAAGAAAACCTAAGAAAACCAAACATTCAAGAAAGTTTTTACCAAATCTGTATCAAAATCAAAATCTTTTAGTAAATTATGAAAACAATAAGAGATACGTCTAACATAAGATAAGTTAATTAAACAATTAGAAGGAAAATAAGAGCTATTTACAGTATATAACTACTACTCCAAATGGATTTTGATGGATTGTGAAAAAAAAAGTGAAGCTACTTGTGCTTTAGTTATTTTTGTTACGGCCAAATAGTATTGCCAATATAGCCGGTTCTGATTTTAAAATATATAAAACAATAATAAACCTTCGCAATTGATAAGTCCATGTTACAATCAGTTGTTTTAAAAAGTAAAGTAGATAACTAAAATATGAAGCACTAGATGCTACAGGTCAAAAAGAAACTCAAATCATGCTTCTACCCAAATTAATGAAAAGAAAAGAAAGTACATAAAAGCAACATCGCAACTACCACCACCACCACCCACCCACCCAAAAAAATAAGAGGAATTTGAAACTATAAGCTAAACAAGGAGGAGTAGGATATGACTAACATATTTAAAGTCAAATTACCACTCTAGTGGCCTAGTGATTAGAGCATCCACCTCAGATGGGGAGGTCGCGGGTTTGAACCCCGGTCGAGTCATACCAAAGACTTATTTTAAAAAAATAATACTAACAGCTGCCTCGCTAGGCGCTCAGATTAAGAGGTTAGTGTTAGGACTGGTCAGCCTAGTGTCAGGATAATATGATTGGGTGGGACATCATGCTACATAATTGCGGCTCAATAAGCCAGTGATACACCTTAGACATCGTATCGATATGCCTGAAAAATTGTTAAAGCTACGTTAAAACTCCAAATCACACACACACACGCGCGCGCGCGCACACACACACACACACACACACACACACACACACACACACACACATACCGAGAGAAAGTGGGTTGAAGTCATACACATTAACTCAAAAAAGGGTATTCCTGTAGTTATAAATCTTTTGAAAGCTTTTAAACCGACAGATTTCGAGGGATATCATGTTAATTAAAGGTTAAACGTAAATATCACAAAATGACAAAAAATATCAAAACAGCATCTTCTGAAAATATTAGATTATTATAATCCCAATGACTTAGTACAATCATACCGTACAATCATTCTAATCAATCATTTTATGTGGAAACAAATAAATTGCTAATACTTAGAAAGTACTTGGAACGAAATTATAATATACCTAATAAATTTAACTATTGATAAAATGAATATAACTGAGTAGAAAAAATAGTTTTGAAATTACGTGTAGTAGTAATTATATATTGTTATAAATTTAACTATTGATAAAATGAATATAACTGAGTAGAAAAAATTAGTTTTGAAATTACGTGTAGTAGTAATTATATATTGTTATTCTAACTACGACCTCTGGAATATGAATCATTTTTACGTCGAGTTTTTTTCTGTTTGTTTTGAGTACCAACAAAATATATCAAATAAAAAATATCACTTCTGTTCGGATATTGCTAAATCTTAATATAAAATCAGTAAATAATAATTTCAGATATGCAAGTGATTCACATTATCAAAAGTAAAATTGATGGAGGATCCATAGTTACTAGATGCAATATGTGGCCTTTTCATGCTTGATGGAACAAAGAATTCAGTGACCATATAACCAACAATAAAGATACTGTACAATTATTATAGGATCAAATATTGGTTCAATATTAGATATTATAAGAAAAGTAAAGAGAAATAGAAGAAAAGAATCTTAGAGGAAAGCAGTTGAAAATATGATCCATGAAATTAAATGAAACCAACGCATGCTGAAATAAATTACCGAACATTTTGAAAAAAATAGCATAATAAAACAAAGGAAACAGTGCAAGAATGATGAAATTACAAATCATCAAATTATGCCTTAAAAAATATGTGAAAGCATTCTTTAAATCGACATTCTAGAGAACACTTGACAGATTAGATACTTGACTGTAATTTGATGGATGGTAAAGAAATGAAAAAGTTATTGGTTTATTTAATCATAATTTGTTATTCATAGCAAACATTATAGTGCAGCAGTGCTGAAGATAATCCTACTGATCTATCAATTAGGAAATATATATATTGAATTCCGTTAGCATAATAAAAATAAAACAGATACTGTGCCCATATCAGTTGCTAATCGCCCTGATGTTCAACCTGTACATATACAACAGTTCGAGCAGCTCTCAATGGAGATTTTGAAACTGGCAATGGATGATTTTCAAAGACACAGTTCCTATCTACTGGCGACATCATTTCTTTTGCCATTATCTAGCAGATTTGTTGCAAGCAATGATATGAATACAGCATTTAATGGTATCAAACACTCCAAAATGGTAGAGAGAAATCGATCTGACCAGTATATAATGAGAGTAGATGGAGTATCTGTATGCAGAATGTAACATTAATCATATTAGCCTATGGATGCTGACAATTGAATTGTCGCTATCAATGGCAAGTGATATTAAACAAAAATTAGTTAATGGCTAAAAAAAAAATGTCTGATTTTTCACTCTGACTAAACATTTTATTACGTACGTTAGACTTTTGATGTTTTGTTTAAACATTTCTTGTTCAAAAGCTCGGGTGTTACAAAGCCATACACGAGCACACACAATATATAATTGGGTCTAAAACTGACATTGTTTCACTAAGATATATAAATTCGCAAAGTAAAATAAAATTTGGTCCCACAGTGTTTAACGATGTTATACAAGATCAAGAGTAAGAGGTCCGACTTTGTTGTAATAGGCCGAGTTATGCTACGTGTACATTTTTTAATTCAATTTGTGATGAAAGTTAATGACAAGAATATAACGATAATGAACTGAATCCAAGATGGAGAAATGTCCACAAATGCGTTAGAACAACTTCCATATGATGTTTGTATAACAATTTACCATGCAGATAAACGTAAATGACCAAAAGGAAAATAATAAGGCATTTGAAGTTGTAAGGTGAATACTATAGGGACAATGTGAATGTACTTTCACCCTTCCCTTCCCCTGAATAATATGGGAACAAAATTTATAGGGACAATGGAATGGGAATTACCATTACAAGACCCCCTGGGCCACTGTAGGGACTATACAAAAGGTTGGATTTGGATATGGACAATAGAAATGGCACAAGTGTGTGACGTAACGCTACTAGACATTGGAAATAATGTTTCAAGTGACTGATCTCAAACAGCGCCAGCGGGGAAGGGGAACGGGTAACGGTTAGTGAGTGACAAGTGGGGGGTAGCGAGGAAGTTAAGCGGTGAAACTATACGAATTACGCTTGGCGGGTAGAGGGTGACGGGTATCGGTGGCGGGTAAGTTCACCTAGTTCATCAACTATACGAATAATAACGCTTGGCGGGGCGAGACATAGAACTGGATAGAACGCATGGCGGTGCGAGACTCGCGGGACATATAAATGTATAGACATAGGAATAGACATATGACACATACACTTATTTATGAACATAAATCTATCACACATAAAATATAAAATCAGCTAAAAAAAATTAGGCAAGAGAGATCAAATCTTTTTGAGGTAATGGAGAAGCCACGAAAAGGTCCTTTGGTTTCTATTAAAATCGTTCCGTTAACATAGAGGGCATCGTACGGATATTCTTCTTTTCCTCAAACTTCGTCTGAAAGAAATGTATCAGACTTCTTTATTACGACCCAAGAAATAAAGACCTTCCCGAGCCAAACAATCCAATCATGTTCACACACCTACTATGCGTGAGATACCCACTCTAGTGATTTCTATCAAGTCATCGACATGGGCAGGTCCAGAAGTAGGCCTTGGCCGTGGCAAAGGGATAAGACATTTAAAGCTGATTACTTCTCGTTCCTGAGTTTGTTTGATTTTGAATAATAAAAAACACCCAACGGTTCTTTTGTAGGCTACCCACTTCTTTCAAGAAGAGATAGTATTTATATCGCCAAAATCAATTGAAATTCAAAATCCCTTTTCTGTCTTATGGTGTATGTGTGCGAGTGCATGAGTGTAGCTCCTTATTCTAAAAAAAAGTAAAAACCAAGAGACACTTACATTTGTCTTTTTGATCTATTCTAGCACAAATGTACAATCAAATCCACAACACAACACTTTCAAAAATTCATAGACCTCTTCTGCGTCTTTACACCCTTTCTTTTGTTTAATTTCTTCACTTTCATTGATTTTTCTTCCTCTTCTTCCTCACTTTCTTCTAGCGTTAAAAATATGGTCATTTGACTTAATGCGCTTAATATGAAACGATCGCATTATTTCGTAGTGAAAGTAGATGTAAGAGACAAACGTGATTATCGCCTCTCACAGTTGCTTAAGTCTTGGCTCAAATCCATGCCAGCGATTTTGTAGATGACATGAGTGAGCCAGAATCCAGGCTCACATAGTCTACATCAAACCAAATTCCACCGCCACTAAACCCTGAAAAGTACTATCACATTCGAGAGACGGATAAACGCTTCTCTAGAAAATTTAGAACCACGGCCTACACGTCCACGATGAAGTTTAAAGATTTAAAATCCGAATTACCACTGAAGAATGCAGAAGAGTTCATCACCGATGTGTGGGATTCTTTGTTAACCACACTGAAACAGCAATGTCAAGCCAAAGAAGACGATCACTTGAGACTTTCGATTTATCACGACGGCATAAAGTCCCCCGTTTGGTTATCAGACCATGAGAATTGATACCTTCCAAAGTCATCGGTAAGCTTCAACAGGTTCAACAATCCAACGACAAGTTTCACATCACCGATGGAAAAGCGACACTGTTAATGACCACCTTTTCTCTTCCCTAAGGGACCGGACACAAAAGGTGTTATTGGTGGACGACCTTCACATCATCAACAGCCTCGTCCAAATTACCAGCCCTCAAGACAAGATGTGTTTCGTTGGTGCCTTCGTGGTGTGATAAATGTATGCCGACAAGAACGACACGACAAAATGGAAAAGACCCAGGCAAACTATTAACAAATCGAACCAAGCCAAACAACGAAAAGAATCAGAACTCCTGCCATAGCAAGATCTGATATCCAAAGACACACCCTGTGGCATTTTGAAATGCAAACATTGCAATACATGTTAGCTCCACGCTACACATTGAAATTACACCCACAAGAAGTATGCGGACATCAGCTATTTCGTGGCAAAGATTTCAAAGACGGAAAATACATTCACGTCTATCATCGCGATGAACATTTAGATACCATTATCAATATCACTGCATTCCTAGTATACTATTATTACTGTGAGAAATATGAATATGGCTATAGCAAGCGAGAGCAAAGCAAGTATTGTGGATTGAAATGCTCTGGATGTTTGGCCTCTAAACCATGTCTTGACAAAGGGCAAGAACGAATACATCGCCTTGCTTGTCAGCGCACTTTTCTCAGCACTTCCTGTGCTTTTCAACTGCTGAGATTGTGTCCTACTTGTGGACATGTCATACGTATCAGTAGTGCCAAAGCTCATATATATTGTGGAAGGGAAAAAAAAACGATGTCACATTTGTCACCAAATCGTGGACTTGGAACACGAAATACATCCAAACATGAAGAGAAAGTTGACTAAAAAAAGGCAACTTCAGCTTTTTCGATTTTGA